TACTTTATATCCCCCAGATGAATGCAATCTTTCTATGTCTATCCCTCTCTTTCTGACTCATTTCGCTTAGCATGATACTTTCCATGTTGTACCACTTGTATGTAAATTTCATGACTTCATCTTTTCTAAGAGCTACATAGTACTCCATTGTGTAGATGTACCAAAGTTTCTTTAACCAGTCATTTGTTCTTGGGCATTCAGGTTTCTTCTAGTTTCTGGCTATTGTAAAGAGTGCTGCAATGAACAAACAAGTGCAGATGTCACTTCGACTATACATTTTTGCCTCTCTGGGATATATTCCCAGGAGTGGTATTGCTGGGTCAAATGGGAGCTCAATTTCTAATTTTTTGAGAATTGTCCATACGGTTTTCCAGAAGGGCTGAACCAGTGGACATTCACACCAACAGTGAAGGAGTGTCCCTTTCTCGCCACATCCACGCCAGCATCGGTTTCTTTTGTTCTTTTGAATGTGGGCCAGTCTCTGAGGTGTGAGATGGTATATCATTGTGGTTTTGATCTGCATCTCCCTGGTGATTAATGATGTAGAGCATTTTCTCATGTGCTTTTTTGCCATTCGGATTGCTTCTTTGAGAAAGTTTCTGTTCATTTCATTGCCCCATTTTTGGATGGGGTTGGATGTTTTCTTCTTGTGGAGTTTAACCAGTATTTTGTATATCCTGGATATCAACCCCTTGTCAGATGTGTATTCGGTGAATATCCTTTCCCATTCTGTAGACTGTCTTTGTATTTTGGTCACTGTTTCTTTGGAGGTGCAGAAGCTTCTTAGTTTAAGATAGTCCCATTTATCTATCTCTGTTTTCACTTGCTCGGCCAGTGGCATGGCATCTTTGAAGATACCATTAGCTTCAATGTCATGGAGGGTTTTGCCAACTTTATCTTCAATGTACCTTATGGTTTCTGGTCTGATGTTGAGGTCTTTAATCCATTTTGATCTTACTTTTGTACATGGTGTTAGGCAGAGTTCTGAGCCTATTTTTTTGCATGTAGCCGTCCAGTGATGCCAACACAATTTATTAAAGAGGCTTTCCTTACTCCACTTCACATTACTTGCACCTTTATCAAAGATTAGATGAGCATATGATTGAGGGGAGATGTCAGTGTATTCAATCCTGTTCCATTGGTCTGCAGTTCTGCCTTTGTTCCAGTACCATGCTGTTTTAATTATTACTGCTTTGTAGTACAGTTTGAAGTTCGGGAGGTTGATTCCTCCCATTTTCTTTTTCCCAAGAATTGCTTTAGCTATTCGTGGGGGCTTATTGTTCCATATAAATTTCAGGAGTGTTTGCTCCATTTCTTTGAAGAATGTCATGGGTATTCTTATAGGGATTGCATTGAATTTATACAATGCTTTCGGTAGTATTGCCATTTTGACAATGTTAAGTCTCCCGACCCATGAGCAGGGGATATCTTTCCATTTCCTCATGTCCTCTTTTATTTCCTGAAGTAGCGTTTTGTAGTTTTCTTCGTACAGGTCCTTTACTTCCTTAGTTAAGCTGATTCCTAGGTACTTGATTTTCTGGGGCACAATTGTGAACGGGATTGTTTTTTTCATGTTGCTTTCTTCTCTCTCACTGTTTGCGTATAGGAAAGCCATGGACTTTTGGGTATTGATTTTATAACCTGCAACTTTACTATACAAGTCTATTGTTTCTAGGAGTTTTTTGGTGGAGGTTATTGGGTTCTCTAAGTAGAGTATCATATCATCTGCGAATAGTGAGAGCTTGATTTCTTCCTTTCCTACCTGAATGCCCTTAATATCTTTTTCCTGCCTAATCGCTATTGCAAGTACTTCCAGTACTATATTGAACATCAGTGGAGATAGTGGGCATCTCTGTCTCGTCCCTGATCTTAGAGGGAAGGCTCTCAGTTTTTCCCCATTGAGGATGATGCTTGCTGTAGGCTTGTGGTAGATGGCTTTAATTATGTTGAGGAAGGTCCCCTCTATACCCATTTTGGCTAGGGTTTTCATCATAAAGGGGTGCTGGATCTTATCAAATGCTTTCTCTGCATCTATTGATATGATCATATGCTTTTTATCTTTTCTTTTGTTGATATGGTGGATTATGTTGATTGATTTCCGAATGTTAAACCATCCTTGCATCCCTGGGATGAATCCTACTTGGTCATGGTGTATGATCTTTTTGATGAGTAGTTGGATTCTATTTGCTAGTAGTTTGTTGAGGATCTTTGCATCTGTGTTCATCAGGGATATCGGCCTGTAATTCTCTTTCTTTGTGGTATCTCTGTCTGCTTTTGGTATCAGTGTGATATTTGCTTCGTAGAAACTGTTCGGAAGTGTTTTTGATATTTCAATTTCGTGGAAAAGCTTAAAGAGCATCGGGAGTAAGTCCTCTTTAAAGATTTGGAAGAATTCACTAGTGAATCCATCCGGGCCAGGACTTTTGTGCTTGGGGAGACTTTTTATTACCATTTCAATTTCCTTGATGGTGATAGGTCTGTTCAGGTATTCCAGGTCTTCTTGGTTCAGCCTTGGGAGTCTGTAGGAGTCTAGGAATTTATCCATTTCCTCGAGGTTTTGATGTTCCGTGGCATAAAGCTTCTCAAAGTACTCCCTGAGGATCCTCTGAATTTCTGTGGTTTCTGTTGTAATGACCCCCTTTTCATTTCTGATTCGGTTTATTAGGGTTTTCTCTCTCCCTTTCTTTGTGAGTTTTGCTAGAGGCTTATCGATCTTGTTAATTTTCTCAAAGAACCAGCTTTTGGTTTCATTGATCTTTTGGATTGTTTTTTGGGTTTCCATCTCGTTAATCTCTGCTCTGAGTTTTATTATTTCCTTTCTCCTGTTCGGGTTGTGCTCATTTTTTTGGTCCTTCTCCAAGCTCTTAAGCTGTGAGGTTAGGTTACTTATGTGTGCTCGCTCCTCCTTCCTGAGGAATGCTTGTAGAGCTATAAACTTTCCTCTTAACACAGCCTTTGCTGTGTCCCATAAGTTTTGGTAACTCGTGTTCTCATTTTCATTTGTTTCTAGGAATCTTTTGATTTCCTCTTTGATTTCCTGTCTAATCCACTCGTTGTTCAATAGTGCACTGTTTAATTTCCAGGTGTTTGATTTAGTTTTCTGTTTTTGTGTGTGATTTACTTCTAATTTCAGCGCATTATGGTCTGAGAAGATTGTTGATACAATCTCTACCTTCTTAATTTTATGGAGGCATGTTTTGTGCCTCAGCATGTGGTCTATCTTGGAGAATGTTCCATGTACGCTTGAGAAGAATGTGTATTCAGCTTTTTGTGGATGAAGTGTCCTGTATATATCTACTAAGTCCCTTTCTTCCATTGTTTCCCTCAAATAAAGTATGTCCTTGCTAAGCTTGAGTCTGGTTGATCTATCAAGAGGTGACAAAGCAGTGTTGAAGTCTCCCACTAGTATTGTGTTGCTATTGATGTCTTTTTCCAAATCTATGAGTAGTTGTTTTAAGTACTTTGCTGGTCTCTCATTAGGTACATATACATTTATTATTGTAAGTTCTTCCTGTTGTACAGATCCTTTGATCAATAAGAAATGGCCTTTACTGTCTCTTATGACCTTCCTCACTCTGAAATCGATGTGGTCTGATATAAGGATGGCTACCCCAGCTTTTTTATGGGAGCTGTTTGCCTGTAGGATTGTTTTCCAGCCTTTGACTCTGAGTCTGTGTTTGCTTTGACTATTGAGATGCGTTTCTTGCAGGCAGCAGAATGTTGGGTTCAATTTTCTAATCCATCCTGCCACTCTATGTCTTTTAATTGGTGCGTTTAGCCCATTGGCATTGAGAGAGATTATTGTTATGGGATTCTGTCCCATTGTTCTGTTAAAATTTGGTGTATTTGAGGGGCCTTTCTTGCCTTAAAGTACCCCATTTAGTTGTTCTTGTAACCATGGTTTTGAGTGTATGAAGTTCCTGAGCTGTTGTTTGTCTGTGAAACTGTGTGTTGTTCCTTCTATTATGAATGAGAGTCTTGCTGGGAAAAGTATTTTTGGGGAGGCATTTATTTCATTGAGTTTTTTTATGTCCCACCACTGCTAAAACACAATTCTTAACTAATATTCCCACCAACAACAAATGAATAACCTTTTATCATTTCAGCATATTTCCTTTCTGTCTAAAGCTGAGTATGAATGCCTGTCCAGTCCACCAGAATTCCAAACATTATCACACAAGCTTTTGCAAGCAGAGAAAGGCTCTCTTCAGTTGGGAGTACATGGAAGGTAGGAGTGCTCAGAGCTACTGTCTCTTACTTTGTTTTAGAAAGTATCTGTATGATCAGGAGGAGGAGCTAATAAATCAATTCATCTGTCATTTAGTAGCCTTGTCCCCTTTAGGCCATAGTTTCAAAATGATTCTAATAATGCCATCAGAAGAAATATTGTGTTTTTAGCAAATAAAAGATTGACTTTTAGTGTTAATACTATATATTAATATTCTGACATTTCTAATATTTTAATGATGCTACAATTATCATGTAACGTTAGATTGTGAAGATGTTGGAGTTGTTTTGGAATGCTGAATACTCAGAGATGTACCTCTTAAGGAGTATATGGATTTTTTCACTTTACTGATAATTTCTGTAGTATTAATTTGAAGGAGAATTGTTCAAAACTCTTAACTGAGTTACATAACATAGGGGGGAAATGATAGTTTTACTTTATTCCATTATCGCCCAGTATCATATGAGGTATTTGGTATTTGTTAGTTTATATAAAATTCATTGTCTAGAGATTGAGATGCAAGATTCAGTGAGTTCTGATGCAGTGGACCCAAAATCTCTGTACCATCAGCACCCTTCGGGGCATGTTTATTTATTTTTCTTTTACTTTACTTCTATTTAGGGGGTCCAAGTCTGGATGTACTCAAGCCTTATTCTTGGATCTGTGCTCTGGGATCTCTCCTGCTGGTGCCAGAGATTTTATCATGATTGGCAAATGCTTTAACCCCTATAGAATCTCTCCAGCTCATTGTGTTCATTTTCTTTTATATGTTTATGATATGGAACGCTTCATGAATTTGTGGGTCATCCTTGTGTAGGAGCCATGCTAATTTTCTCTATCATTCCAATTTTAGTATATGTGCTGCCAAAAATATTCATTTTAATTAATTAATTAATTAAGGCTTTTGGGGTACACCTGGTGATGCTCAGGGGTTACTCCTGGCTCTGCACTCATTACTCCTGGTGGTGCTCGGTGGACCATGTAAGATTCCAGGACTTGAACCAAGGTTGGCTACATGCAAGACAAATGCCCTGCCCTCTGTACAATATTTCTGGCTCCCAGATTTTAAATCTGACTGATATTCAATGACTCGCTTCCTATACAAATGCCTGAATTTCCACTAAGTAGTTGAGAGAGTCAAAAGATAATCCTAATGTCTCATAGAGGCAGTAACTTTAAGACCACCACCCTTCAAAGGGAAAAGGTTGGAATTACCGAAACAGAAATTTAAGGAAAGCTCCCTGGGACCTTGAGAATCAAATCTTTGGTTGGGTACCAAATCAAGCACCTTCCAGCAAGTTGAATATTCTGGAGCTGCACAAGAAGGAGCGGGTTTGGCAAGTTTTGTTTTAAAGCTCAGAACCACGGATTCAGTATTTCTTTTTTCCCAGGTGAGGGAACTTAACTTATTGAGGTGAAAAGTCACTTTGACAAAGATGAAGAAGCAAAACGTTGGCACTTCCCTGGGAACCTACCCCACAGACGCACGTTCCTGCTCGCTTCTTCCGGGTCCCCCTACTGCTAGGACCCTCAGGTGATTCCCACTAACAAAATGGAAAAGGAAGAGCTGGAAGAGTACAACTACCTCATAATATCATAAGCTTGTTCCCTCCCCCACCGACCCTCACTCACTCTTTTTTTGTGTTTCTTCAGTCTCGGACCCTCAACTGCACCCACTCTTAGCCAGAGCCATACACCACTCCCATCTCCTGCCTTGGCAGAAGCCTGGATCACAAGGGTTTGCTTGTTTCTTTGAATTTCTTCGTTGTGCTCTGTTAAAGTGTTTCATAACCACTTAGGCTACTCTATAGGAACCCTAATTTTACTTCTAGCATTTGAGTGAAACAGGGTTCATTTGGGGTTTCTGCTTTCCGGGGCATTCTTACGGACTACCAGAGGGATAGCACTGATGCAGAGAATACTTTATTGAGACATGCAGAAAACAGAACCTTTGAGAATCTCAGGGTTTAACTTATTTAGACAAAGGTTTTTTTTTCCATTTTTTCCTGAGTGAAAACATGGGTCAAGCACATTCTTTCACCATTGTGTCAGGTTGTTGATTACTTCTGCCTACAAAGTTCTACTTAAAACAAAAAATTAAAAAGGCACCAGAGAAAAGATGGATATTTTTTCCTGAAAGATCATGCTGTGTTTGTAGGAACAGAAAACTTATCAAGGAAGCATTTCAAATCCTCCACGGAAAAGAAAACCCAACCAGCCAAGGTCACTAGAAACTGAATTCATAAACTAGAATAAAAAATAAAAGGTAACAGAACCATAAAAATTATCATCTAAGTTTGCCTATAAAGTTCTTAAAAATCCTCACATGCATGAATACAGAAAATACCTAGGTGTAGAAATGACAGGAAATGTTCAAGTTTTTCGGCAAAAATTCAGTAGATTTTGATCGACTGAAGTCCAATCACACCATCAGTAGGATGCTGACCTTAGAGGCAAGACCTATATTGGCTTCCATTCAGATTTTAAATCTTACAAACTTTTGTGCTTGCATTTCAGTCATACAATGACCGAGTACCCATTCCTCCACCAGTACGCATTTTCCAACACCAATGGTCTCAGCATTCCTCCCACCACCCCCACCCTGTCTCGTCCACCCTACCCTGCCTCTGTGGTAGGGCATTCCCTTTTGCTCTCTCTCTCCTTTTGGGTGTTGTGGTGTGCAACAGCGGTATTGAATGGCCATAAAGTTTGGTCTATAGTCTACTTTCAGCCCGCATCTCCCATCCCAAGTGGGCCCTCCTAGCACCCTTTACTTGGTGGTCCCTTCTCTATCTGAGCTGCCTTTTCCCCCAGCATGTGAGGCCGGCTTCTAAGCTGTGGAGTAATCCACCTGTTACTTATCTCTACTATTCTTTGGTGTTATTCTCCCATTCTGTTACTTTATATTCCCCAGATGAGTGCAGTCTTTCTATGTTTGTCCCTCTCTTTCTGACTCATTTAGTTAACATGATACTTTCCATGTTGATCCACCTATATGCAAATTTCATGACTTCATCTTTTCTAACAGCTGTATAGTATTCCATTGTGTAGATATACCAAAGTTTATTTAACCAGTCATCTGTTCTTGGGCACTTGGGTTTTTTCCAGATTTTGGCTATTGTAAATAGTGCTGCAATGAACATATAAGTGCAGATGTCATTCTACTATACTTTTTTGCTTATACAGGATATATTCCCAGAAGTGGTATTGCTGGGTCAAATGGGAGCTCAATTTCTAATTTTTTGAGAAGCGTCCATACTGTTTTCCAAAAGGGCTGAACCAGTTGCAAACCCACCAGCAGTGAAGGAGGGTCCCTTTCTTGCCACATCTGTGCCAACACCGGTTGCTTTTGTTCTTTTGGATGTGGGCCAGTCTCTGTGGTCTAAGATGTTATCTCATTGTTGTTTTGATCTGCACCTCCCTGATGATTAACGACATAGAGCATTTTCTCATGTGCCCTTTTGCCATTCTGATTTCTTCTTTGGCAAAGTTTCTGTTCATTTTATCGCCTCATTTTTTGATGGGGTTGGGTGTTTTCTTCTTGTGGAGTTCAACCAGTGCCTTGTAAATCCTTGATATCAACCCCTTGTCAGATGGGTATTGGGTGAATATCCTTTCCCATTCTGTAGACTGTCTTGTATTCTGGTCACTGTATCTTTTGAGGTGCAGAAGCTTCTTAATTTAAGATAGTCCCATTTGTTTATCTCTGTTTCCACTTGCTTGGCCAATGGTGTCCCCTTCAAAGATACCTTTAGTTTCAATGTCGTGGAGGGTTTTGCCGATCTTGTCTTCAACGTAACTGATGAATTCTGGTCTGATGTTGAGTCTTTAATCCATTTTGATCTGACTTCTGTGCATGGTGTTAGGTAGAGGTCTGAGCCCATTATTTTGCATGTAGCTGTGCAGTTTTGCCAGCACCATTTGTTACAGAGGCTTTCCTTGCTCCACTTCACATTTCTTGCTCCCTTATCAAAGATTAGATGATCATATATTTGAGGGTGTGTATCAGGATATTCAACCCTGTTCCATTAGTCTGTGGTTCTGCCTTTGTTCCAATACCATGCTGTTTTAATTATTACCGCTTTTTAGTAGAGTTTTAGGTTGAGGAAGGTGATGCCTCCCATATTCTTTTTCCCAAGAATTGCTTTAGCTATTTGTGGAAGTTTACTGTTCATATGAATTTCAGGAGTGTTTTATCCATTTCTTTGAAGAATGTCAAGGGTATCCTTATAGGGATCATGTTGAATTTGTACAATGCTTTAGGGAATATTGCCATTTTGACAATGTTAATTCTCCCGGTCCATGAGCAGGGGATATCTTTCCATTTCCTTGTGCCCTCTTTTATTTTGTGAGGTAGTGTTTTGTCATTTTCTTTGTACACGTCCATTACCTCCTTAGTTAAGCTGATTTTGAGGCATTTGATTTATGAGGCATAACTGTGAATAGGATTACTTTTCTCATGTTCCTTTCTTCTCTCTCATTATTTGCATATAAGCAAGGCATGGACTTTTGGGTATTGATTTTATAGCCTGAAACTTTACTATACAAGTCTATTGCTTCTAGGAGTTTCTTGGTAGAGGTTTTAGGGTTCTCTAAATATAGTATCATATTATCTGTGACTAGTGAGAGCTTGATTTCTTCCTTTCCTACTTGAATATCCCTAATATCTTTTTCTTGCCTAGTAGCTATTGCAAGTGAATTGTTTTTTTTTAAATCAGAGTAAACAATATCTGTAAACTACAACACTAAAAGGTATAATAATTATCCAACTTCAAAATGGAAATCAATAACTTTGCTTAACGTGGAAATAAAACTGGTCACTTTTTCAATAAAATGTTTTTTTCCAATTTTATTAAAACAAGAATTTTTGAATAGCACATCATATAAAACCATTTGTTTCTCATCAAATAAGTAACATCACACAGTGTACTACTTTAAAAATGATTTTAAGCATTAGCATTCAACTGTTAGTTAATTGGCATATATTTGGCTCCATTGGGTCCTGGGACTAAATCAGGGCTGGATGCTTAGTTGCCACTAAGTTGCTTAGTTGCCCAGTATTTTGATATACAATTAAATCTGAGAAATAGTATATTGTACCTTAGATAAAAAAGAGTCTAATCAAAAATCACAAAGCACTGAATAGTGTTTTGCTATTTTTATATGGCTTTTTAAAACATATAAGCTGCTTTATAAATGACTTCTTAAAAGCGATGTTTTCTTGGGGCTGGAGTGATAGCACAGCAGGTAGGACATTTGCCTTGCACGCAGTTGACCCTGGTTCAATTCCCAGCATCCCATATGATCCCCCTGAGCACCCCCAGGAGTAATTCCTGAGTGCATGAGCCAGAAGTAACCTCTGTGCATCACTGGGTATGACACAAAAAGCAAAAAGTAAAAAAAAAAAAAGGTATGCTTTCTGTCTCTCTCTCCTTTTGGACATTATAGTTAACCATACAGATACTGAGGGGTTATATTTGTTCCTTTATCTATTTCCAGCACACAGTTCTTATCCAGAGTGATCATTTCCAACTATCTTTTTCATACCGGACCCTTCTCTCTCCCAGCTGCCCTCTCTCCCAGCACTTGAGGCAGGCTTCCAACTGTGGATCAGTCCTCCTGGCCCTTCTTTGTACTGTCCTTGGGTATAAATATCATGTTATGTTTTTTATATCTCATATACCACAAATGAGACAAATCATTCTATGTATGTCCCTCTCCTTCTGACTCACTAATTTCACTCAGTTTGATACTCTCCATGACCATTCACTTATAAGCAAATTTCCTACCTTCCATTTTCTTAATGACTTCATAGTATTACACTGTGTTGATATACCATAGTTTTTCTTAACCAGTTATCTGTTCGCAAGCAGA